CTCTCTCTCTCTCTCTCCCTCTTTCATCTAAACAGGAACAACATGTCTTGCTACATTAATAATGCCTCCAGCTCTCTCCCTCTTTCTCTCCGCTGTCAGGTTCTCGAAGAAGAGGCGGGTCCGGGGGAGCAGATGTCGGAGGGGAGCACTAACTCGGTCTCCAGGAGGAACTTGACGGCCAGTGATGGAGGAGCCGCACCTTGATGCTTGACCCACCACACCTTGATGACCCCTGTTGACCACTTTTATAGAATTTTACACTCTCATTATTTCACTTTATTGACCTCACACTCTCTCACTATTTTACTTTACCAATTTCACACTTTCATTATTTCTCTTTACCGACGTCACACTCTCTCAGTACTTCCTTTCTTTCTAAAGGTATTTTTCCTGTCTTTGGAGGTCAGAGGAATTGAATGGCAGTGTGTGCTGGAGAAGCCAATCCCAAGTGTTTGCTGATGATCTCAGCAACGACTTCTTACTCACTCTCTTTGTCTCTCCCTCTCTTTCTGTTTGCATCTCCATGTCTCTCTTTTGCTTTTTTTATCTTTTTCAATCTCATTTTTTTTTCTTTTCTCTCCATATCTGTGTGTCTCTCTCTAACTCCCTTCATGCCTCTTCATCCTCCTTTTCTCTTTTTTTTTATGTCATGGTCTTTTGAACTCAAGTGTTCATATTAAGCCTAAATTTGTCTTTCAACTAAAGAATATTATAAAATTTTCATGTTGCCAACGTAATAGAAGATGATCAGTGCTTTTAGAATCCTAACACTTTTTCACAGACCTGTTTAGAATAACTCGAATACGTCCTACAGGGTCCTCTTGCAACATAACTTTTTAATACCAGTTTGTTCATTCTTCTTTGCCTTGTCATTCCCCAAGATGATGAACAGTACCACTTTGATTCACAAATTTGGGATTTTTTATAATTGTTATGTGGCTGCCACAAGCAATCCACTTGAGTCTAAATTTTGAGAAGTTTCTATTTTACCACTCTCCCAAAGGTCTATCAAAGATGTCCCTTTCAACATCACCAAAATGCGGTTTAGTACTATGGTCAAGGCATACAATATTTTCTTGCTTTTTGTGATTCCTGATAGGATCAATACAACATAAAGCAGTCAAATGGACTTAAGTGGATTGCTTGCGACACCGACATTATTTTTATTGTTGAAGTACCTAGAGCCATCTGAGAGTTGGCACGATAGAACTGATCTTTATTATTATTTTTATTTTTGTTGGGGATTTTCTTTACTAATTACTTTTAACCTGTTTGCAGCGAAGAGACAGGACAAACAGGGTGTGATAATGTTTTGCACGGGTGGAATTTTCTACCAAAGTCTGACTGGTTTCGAACCAAAAACCATTCACTTACAAATTTCCAGGGCTATAACTACTACTGAATGAGAACTGTTAAAATAACAGTGAGAGGAAAAAGAGTTCAAAATATAAGGTAACATTTTTTCATAAAGTTTTTTTTTTCTTGAAGAATTTCAACTGACATGGAAGACTTGTACAACCCCACAGTGATTTCTTTTTCTGGCCAGTTTATCCCATTCTGCCATGTCCACTTTCTTGATTTGATCCCATGGAGAAAGGGGCGTCAAAGTCGTACAGTTATCATATCAATAACCTTGTGATTGAAGGCTTTGCCACCTTATCCTCAGACTCTTAGGAGATTCTACTCGTTCTTAGATTTAGATCCTTCATTGAGAGTCGATATGGTTGCAAAATTGGAGGGCCCAAGAATAACGTGAGAAATAATGCACTCAAAAGAGGATTTTGAGCAAGGTGCTGTATCTTTGAACTTTTCTTTTGTTTTTAATTAACTACGAATATTTGGTGATTTGGTTTAGAAGTTTGTGAATGTAAATTGATCGGTGATTAAGAATGTTGAAATGCCATCTTTGCCCTGCTGTGTTGATTATACCGAAATTGTTTTCAGATGCGAAGTGCCATGTGTAACATATACACAACATGCAAAAATAGATAACATTTTTACAGTGTATATCCCCACTAGAAAGTGGGTTGTGCAATTACTTTATTATTTAATATCATAAGTACAACATCCTTTATAATAATCAAAAGCTTTTTCAGCTTCCTGGTAAACATTCAAAGCTGGCTGCAATGTTGTAGGTTCTCAAACACTGGCTCTCTGTGAAGACATTTCACTGTCTCTGGTGATGAAAGTTTTGTGTAAAGTAATGTGTCTCTCTCAGTGATGAGATGTCGGTCCTGGGTGGAGTTTCGAACCCCAGACCATACGGTTGCAAGTGTGACAGCTTAATCGAGACTATTGTTTTGTTCATTTTTTTCAGCTTTTTTGGTTTGTTTTACTACAGGAATTTTGTTTATATTTTTGTTGAGGTTTGTTTTGTTTTTTGTCTTTGTTCAATTTTGTTCTTTCAACTCTGTGAAAATCTGTTGAAAAATTAAGTTGGTTGTGACTCTGCCTGTCTCTGAATATGGAAATGTTATCTTTCAAAGACACTATCTACCCATGGTTCAAGCATGCAGCTGGAAAGTTCTGCTTGTTGACTGTCCATCTGTTGGGTTTGGGTTTTTTTTATTGTTTTGATTTTCTTTTTGTAAGTACTAACTGAAGGTTACGAAAGAAGAAGTCAAAGTTTGTACACATTGTACTACTGTCAGTGTATGGAAATGGTTCATGTCATTACTCTCTCTCTTATTCCCTGAAATCAAATTTTAAGAAGTGTTTTATGTAAGTTCTGTTTGTGCATTGTAAGATTCAAAGCTGATGACTTGGGTTTTGTTCACCCACATTTAACATGGTATATAATTGCTGGTGAGAAGCTTTTCTCAAAACCTGTATGTTCTCACTTTGAAGAAGTTGAACTTTGTTGAATAATTACATTTCAGAATGTTGAAATTTTCTTAACACTTGTCTACCTTGTATATCATTCATGCTGGGAGAGAAATGAGAAGGCCCTAACTCCGTTTGACTGTACTTGACAGGGTGAGTTAAATAAAACCTTTGGAGTTGTTCATTTACTTCATGGTGGTGACAATGTTGTCATCATGTTTATCATGTTATTTTCATGTAATTATCCATCAACTTTCCAGTCTTTTTATCTCTTTATAATTACTTCGTTTGATGGAAGATTTCGTTCTTGTAAAATTTGTGAATTGCGAAACTCGTCATGACTCTGTCATACAAAGTGGTAAAGCAATTACTCTATATTTGCATCTCTGAGGTGTATATTAAAAGGGTTGAAGCTGAAAACTGAATATATGTTAATAGCTATAAAACACTCTCTGCTGTAAGGGATAATAATAATAATAATATGAGATGCAATTCTAATGAATGTATTTTTAACCATCAAAGGAATTCATTCCTTCAGCAGGTAGTTGGAGGAAGGGGGGGGGGTACTTTTGTTTGTGAATCATTCTTCTTTTCTTTTCCATGGCTTTTTCTGTTACTTTGTCTTACTTTTTCACTTCAGTGACTCACTGTTATTATGGTTTTTGTGCTTCTTGCTACTCAAACTCAAAGTGGATTCAGTGTTTATTTTTGCATGGCATATCTGGTTTTGTGAAAATTTATGCCTGTTTATGTTAACAAGCCATATTTGTTCCGTATATGTTTTGGTGACCATATGTCCTAATCTTGTGTCTATATATTTATATTGCTCAAATCTATCATGCACAACAGTATGTTTAACCCTTTGCTCTTGGCAAAACAAGTAAGAGTTTGTACAAATTATGAGGGCTGTCTAAGTTTTATTTGTATTTATGGGCTAACTTTATGAACTGACCTGTGTGGTCTTCTATTTATTCCTTTTTTTCCCACCTCAGACTATTCAGTCCCTGTGGCTGAGATTTGTGGTAGGGAGGTGGAAGGTTTTCATATATTATTACAGTTCTATGTGAACAGATCATAGTAAGAATAAGAAATTACTGCATTTGTCTTGAAATTTCCAGTCAGTGAAGTGGCAAAAAGGTTTTGTTTTTCGAAATGTTTATCATAGATTCTTTGAAGCATAATATTTTATAACTGAATACCATTTTCTTTTTTAAACAGTATTCCTTTCCTTGATGTTAGACGAGTAGTTAGAGGGTGACTGGTAGGCTATGTACTCCTTCTTTACTCTTCCTCTGTTATTTCTGTCTGTCTGTTATGCTCTGCCTTAGCACTAAATGATTCTGTTGGAGTTGATGTGCTCCTCTCTACTTTAAGCTTGATGTTGATTGAAGTTTTATTCCACTTTGCACGTTTTTTTTTCAACTGGCAACAGATTTTTGTTCCTTAAATATTACCAATGTCTCCAGGAAAATTTTCAAATCTAAATAATTTCTGATCTGTAGATCAGGATTAAATAAACTTTTTCATTTGACATTATTTGTTCAAAAATGAGTATGACTATGACAGGTTAGGGCATTTCCATAGTGTCCCATAGTGAGCAATGTTTGACCTAGCTTTACAGGATGAGGTGGGTGGTTGGTGGGTGCTCTGGTGTAATCAACAATGATATATATATGTGGAGATGTCAGCTGACAAGGCCATACTTAATTAGCAACTTCTGAGTTGTCTTAAGTACTCTTCTGATAAAACTGTAATTGAATTAAACTGCAACATATGTTTTTCTTTCTTTTGAACTCTTTGTTTGCTTTTAAAAAATCTTGCTGGACAGTGGCAGAGATGACCATTAATCAAATCCTCATTGATGTGTTTTTGAACTTGGGTTGTTTGAAAATTTTTTGTAGACTTCTGGCCTCTTGCTTTTCATGGACTCTAAATTCAGGGGCTCAACCATACCATGTCACAAGAAATGTTTTAAACTCTGAGCACTATTGCTGTCCGGTCAAATGCCTCTCATCTTATGTGACAATACTTAAGATATATTACTGTATTTTCTCAACAGGGTACATTAGATTGGGGACTATTCATTCATTTTTTATACATGTATTCCTAACTTTTTATAAATTGTATCCAGAACTACTTGTCCTTGGTTTTCTACGGATATTTTCTTTTATATCATGTAAAAGTAGATGTGTTAAATTGAGGTGTTTCACATGATACACTATAAAGTTCTTATGGCTGGAAATAATTTCTCCATGACATAATATGAAAAATTTTCACAATGAAAACAGGCCTAGCTTACCTCTTGTACTCATTTTGACAGTGAATAAGCTAGGGAGGATTTTGTATAAAGCCAAAATATTGGAACTTGCTACTTATATCCCTTGTGTTGACAGTGTCCTTGAATGGGTTGAACTTTGTGTTCATGCTATTGAGCTGTGATCTAACTTCTCTGTGTATTTCCCAATAAGAGTGGAGCTACATATTCTAATGCTTTGCTTCAAATGTATAGTTTTGTACTACATATTTAGTTGTTTTGTTTAAACTGTGTTTTCTTATTTATTTCATTACTTTACAGGGGGGGGGGGGCAGAGGTTTCATTAATTTTCCATCAAGCTTTCATGTTGTAGCTTAGTGTTCTTCAGATTTCCTCTTTTTATGGAAGAAAAGTATAAACAAGGAGAAAGTGAGGAGGTGTAGCCCCACACATACACACAGACACCGCAAACATGCTCACACACTCAAACACA